CAGTCATTGGGCTCTTTGACTGTTGGTCTATAAAGTAAATAAATAATTACACATTGATTGCTACCTGCATTTACTGCGAAAATATTTGCTGCTTAACACTGTTTTACTCAAATTAGAAGTACCCGGTAGCAGTCATGAATGATCATATGTTGTGTTCCACCTTTAGTGTTTTTACATGCTTTGGTCTCACAATACAGTGAATATATCATTGACTTATACAAAAATCTATTTACTTTTGTATTAAATAAACTAAATTTAAATAATTGTATTTGTGGCACATGTATAAAATATTTTGATTTGTTTTTGTTTTCACATTAACACATTGATTGTTTTACAGCCAATCTGCCTGAAAGTATAAATGAGACAAATTAAGATTTCCTATACCGGTATATTGTAGAGCTTTGTAAAAATTGTTTTGGTTGACTTTGTATTAAGCAGATTAGTTTTTATCTGTATTTCTATTTCTTTAAAAGCTTCCTCCGATATTGGTTGATTTACTGGAAAGATCACAGGCCAGCATATTTTATGATGGATGTGTGATAGCAGAAGTTAGAGATTACAGACAGTCATCCAATGGAATGTTTTATGACAGTCATCATGTTTTACTGAGACCTACATCACAGGTATAATGTATTTATTGTTCAAAGTATCCAGTGACAGTTATCTTGTTTTACTGGATCCTACTGCATAGGTATCTCAATTATGGATACTCCAGTGATCATCGCCATGTTTTTACTGTGGCCAACAGCTTAAGGTAGAAGCCTACTCATAAAATAAAATACCCAGAATTTATTCATTTTGCAACAAACTGTACTACAAGGCAATATAGGGATATTGACTTAAAAAAGTTGGGGGTCACCAGCCTTATTTTTGAGATAATGATGGTTTTATTTTAGTGGAAAGTCACCATTTTGACACTATTATAACACTTTTACCACAGGTTCCTGTGGCAGAGATATTATGCAATATCTCAAAAACTAGCCTGACATAGGCTGAAAAAATTATATATTGTTAATGATGGTGTACTTTTTGTTGTTCTGAATTATTTTGAAAATCTGGGTTTTAAAAAGTGTCAAAAATGCAATTTTTCTTTAACATTGTGTTCTATGGAATTGTTTTAAAAATAGCAATTTTCAAGAAATAGTAAGACACGTTTCTCAAAAAACTTAACTGTAACACAAAATAATGCTATTTCATTGTACCATGAGACATTAGCTTCATGATTGTACATAATAAGCTAATGAACATTGTCATGCGACTTAAGACCAATTTTGTCAAAAATTGTTAGTAGGCTTCTACTTTAAGTACAATGTATTTATTGGTCAAAGTATCCAGTGACAGTCACTATGTTTTACTAAGAATCACTGCACATGCATGTCAATTATAGATAAACCAGTAACATTTTGTAATGGATATTATTTACAGACATTGCTATGTGATGTTAATGCCATAACAAGTGATGATAGCAAACACTGGACACAGGTAAATTTAAACTTAGTAGAAATAATTGTACCTTGTATCAAGGTTGTCATTTCCCCCTCCTGTCTCAGCCGTATAATTGGCTTCTGTTACATCGTATTAAATCATTTTCTTTGCCAGTGTACTCCAGTTCAAAAATTTTGCATTGTGTTACAGGAAGATAAATTATTATTGGAGAGTAAGTTGCTAATAGCAACCCAAGATCCGCTGTGTTTAGATCCATCCACTAGTGTGTTTTGTGTGGCAAACCATATTCATTATCAGAAAAAAAAATTCAACACAAAACCCTTGAAACGGTAAGTACACTACAACCTACAGATTTCAAATTTTCTATTCCTCATTATAGTACATGGTTGCCTTTATTGGAATGTTGTCAGTGAAAAAAAGTGATTGATAGAATCAGCTGACTGGCTGACTATTTTTTTAGACTATGAAGAGTACAATAAGACCATGTCCTTTCTGTCATACATGTATCTGACATTTGGGTAAAGGGACTTCTTAGTTTTTGATATCCATTTGTTCAGTCTTATGATGTTGTATTTGCTCCATAGCATCATAGACCTTAAACAGAGTATCTATGACTATATATAGCAGTGTATTTTGCATTATATAAAATCCCCAATCTAGAAAACTACTTATTAATTTTTGCTTCTAGGAATTTATGGCATTTCTGAAGTTGAAATTCATGAAAGTTACTGACACTCAATGTTGTATGACCTCAGAAACTTTTTACTGCTGACAATTTTTATGATTTTCACCAACTCTTGTCTAATATTGTAACAGATGCGTAAAGAGGTACACACAAACAAGCAAAAACAGAACTTCCACAATGAAGACCTGTCCAGCTCCCACGAATCTATTTCTCCATGATTTTCTTGCGAAGAGGAGAAGTAAACGGCCGACTCCAGTCATAGATTTAAAAGTTGCAAAACCAGTGAGTAAATGTTTTGTTTACTTGACTTGCTAATTATTCAGCAGTGTTGAAGTGTTTTTTTTTTTTATTCCTATACTGTAAACAACTGTTGACTTTGTCCATGTGTGTATGCCCAACATCAAGGAGATGGATGATGCTGAAGTTGGTTTCAGATTCAGATTTGTATTCATTTGTAAATGATACTAGTGCTATATTCAATCTTTTGAGCGCAATTACTACTCCAGTCCAGATTTTGGAGCAACATGTTGTCTGAATCTGAATCCGTATCCGTGGCCAACTTCAACATCATAGGTTACTGTGCTTAGCTATGAGACTCACTGCATTTGAGTGAGGCCGAGAGGTCAACGACCCTGGCAATGTACCCCCTCCCATACACCCTGTACCTGTCCACCAGATCCCTGCTGCTTCAAGACATTCAAAATGCAAAAAAAAAATGGATATAACCTTTCAGAAAATTTTGTATCTTTATTACAAGCAACAAATAAAACATGTTTTTCCATATACAACTCTCTACATACACAAAGAAAGTATCATGTCCTTCAGCAGCAATTTGTAAGCATTTGTCTACATAATGTTTTTCATCGTTTGGCGATGTATCCTGAGATGTAGCTGCATGTCTACCTCCCATGCACACACACACATGCAGGAAATGAACTAACAAAGTCTGCTTTCAATTCTTTCAATGCTGTCGTAATCAGGATTCCAATGAGGATGAGAATGATATGGTAATTAAACTCATCGTTCCTAGCTATCTACTACTATGCAATGTATTGTCACCTCAACTTATTAACATTTTGTTGATGTACAAATCTGTATATATCCCATAATTCTTTGAAAGACACGAGATGTGATTGTCCAAAAAATATAACAAAAATACATTACCTTATGATTGTGAAAGAGACAAGTTTCTTGGTTGCTATGGTTACTTAACATGCTAATACAACATATAGAGGCATGGGGTGTGATTTTGAAACCAGTCATTCATTAATCTCAAAGTTGTCTTCTAATGTTAGTATGGATTTTATAAATTATTGTCTTGCTTTGTCCCATTGTGTGTGTATGAATGAAAAAATAAGTCTTTGATATTTCATTAACAGTTAGTAAACTTTCAAAACAAGACATAGATGCCTAGAATAAAAATCAACACATTCAGTACAAAACTGAAGCTGTTATAGTAATATATATATCCTGAGAACATACTGCCTACTTTCCAGGCAAGCGGGATTCATGGTTAGGAATGTGACATCTAAAAGTAAAAAGGGATGTACACGTGACCGTGTAGTTTGGTGTTCCCGTTCTCAGTGTACGTAAACATCACAGCATCTTTGTCATAATGAGTAGCTTATTTACTGCAGGATAACTATAACCCTACCTTCTTTCTAGGCCTGTTGATCTGCATACTAATAAATGGAAAAAATAAATGTTGAGCCCTCCTCCTCAGTCACATGCACGGTAGCTAGGCAACCAGAAAAACTAAAACTTGTCTATTACATAATACTATGTGACATTATGGCTACTGTCTGAAATGTCGACCACGATCTCGTTGAATTCAGTGATCAGTTGTCATTGCTTGGCAACCAAACCTGCCAGTACTTAACTTTCAGAAAACATATAACATCATATTGTAATGTTCTGTATTCACCCTTTACTAGCTCTTTTTTTCACAGCATGTATACTTCATCATATGAAATATGATCTGTGCATGCCAGCAGCATGCATCTTTTATTATCTGCAGAGTAAATGTAATTTTTAACTCGCATGTTTTTGCTTGGTAAATGTCAATTTATATTAATGTCTATCGTGGAGAGAGACAGAACTGGAATGAAGTTAACAAACCTTAAACTGCATGAGAGGCAGGTCAAAGTTCACACGGATGAGAAAGCACTATTCTCAAAAACCTCAGCAATGGACGCGGCTAACACACTTGACATGTTTCTGTGGTGGGAAGTTTGATGTTTAAAGTTAAAATTTATTTTGATTTACCAAATTAGTTTTTGAATTATCAACCAAAGTTGTATGTATGACTTTTCTGCAATTTTCAATTAAAAATTGTCGCCAGAATAGGGATCAAGATGAGAGGAAATCACGTTTATTGAATCTATGAAGCAAGTTCTGGTCCCCTTATTTGATGGAACTGTCAGCTTAGCAATATATCTCGAATTTGTAGCGCTTTAAAGTTATCCGCGTTTTCGCAAATTTGCAGTGTTGATAATACCGTACTGATGGTTTGTTGTGAGTTTAATAACAGTTTTCATTGTTTGGTTTTCAGTGTGTGGATATGTGGAAACAAAGAGCAGTTAATTTGAATCCACCACAAAGCATAGATGTAAGTTTCCAAACACTGAGTACTGTAAACCGTTTTTATTTCGTGAGTCAATTTTTTGATGATTTAGCGAGCCAGTGAAAATTCCCAAATTTTGTAACAACCGACGGTGGTCGCTGCATCGTAAAATGTTTGATCCCATTGTATGTTTTAACAAAATGTGAACGTTTGTGTATGACCACCACCCAAAATGTTTTCTCCATGAATGCTAATAAATTGTCAAATCACGAATATTCATACCAGTGAAAATTAAACGGTTTACAGTTTTTACTCTACTATTAATCCACATTTCATTTAAAGCATCTTTTATTTTATTTTTTTTTTCCTTCTTGACATGTTTCATGCATGGAAATCACACATTATTAACTGTCATACTAAAACAGACAGTAGACATCATGGCGTTACATGTTACATTTCGGCTCATCGATGCCGAATTGTTCTTTGTCTTGTGTGTCATCTGATATTATAGTTCTCTTGAAGGAGAAAACATTTTTTGTGTAACTTTGCAGTTTGATTATGGATATGTATGTCAGTACGTAAAATTGAATTAAGTTTAATGGCCTTCTGCGCATACACATTCACTATCAAAAACATTCTAAATAATTTTCCTTATCAGCAAATGGCATGTTTAGCAAACAGGAAAATGTGTCAGCAGGAAAATCTCAAAGTAGGGGGATGTGAGAAGTGATGACGAGCACAGTATGCATACTTTAGAATGCATACTTGTTATTATTGTTGAATATGCAAATATTTTATGTTGGGATTACCGTCAAACATTAAACAATTTGCTTTGCCGTATTATTAGTCCCCGTTCGAAAGAAGTCCGAAAATGGGGACTTATAATTCGGTCTCCGTCCGTGCGTCCGTCCGGAGTCATATCTCAGAATCCCTTGGACCGACTCTGTTCATTCTTTGCATGTGCTTAGTACTTTATGTGGGACATATGCAGTGTTTTAGCGATTCGATTCAAAATGGCCGACTGGCAGCCATCTTGTTTTTTGAAAATGTTTTATTTTGGACATGCTTTGCTCGTTTTCATTCAAACTTGGTACATAGATTATACATGTTAGGATACATGTCCATGACGATTTATTTCACAATTGGATCAAAGATGGCCGACTGGCAGACATCTTGTTTTTTGAAAATGTCGTATTTTGGACATACTTTGTCAGTTGTCATTCAAACTTGGTACATAGATTATACATGTTAGGATACATGTCCATGACAATTTATTTCGCAATTGGATCAAAGATGGTCAACTGGCAGGCATCTTGTGTGTTTTTTTTATGCGGTATCTTGGACGTGCTCTGTCAGTTTTCATTCAAATTGGCACATACTTTATACATGTTAGGATGCATGTCCATGACAATATGTTTCAAAATCAGGTCAAGGATGGCCGATTGACAGCCATCTGACGTTTTGGCCTTACTACTATATTTTCACAATTTATGTACCATTTTCATTCGTATTTGGCACATACATCATACATATTTGGCACATACATCATACATATCAGTGTGTATCATAATCAGATCAAAGATGGCCGAATAACGGCTGTTTTTATTTTTGGCCATATTACTACTACACGGAACACGTGTTTTGATGTAAATAAACAATCTGTTGTATACGCCACTTGGAACTCAAGTTTCAAGGACACGCTCGCGACAATCCCTCCACTTTAATATGACGAGCACAAAGAGAACTTTCAAAAATTTAACGGGGACTGTGTCATTTTCAATGACTTGTTTAAATCTGTAATGTTAAACTCACGAACAATTTTATCCCATTGTTCTGAAGGAGAGTGCAGACTATAAACGGTACTATTTTATGAATTTGTGATAAAAAGAGGGAAATGGTAGTGAAAATGTGAGGAGTGCAAGAGGTTTCTATTCAATAGACAAATCTACATGTATCTGTAATGTAACTTACCTTCAAGGTCTAATTTAAGAGGTCGTCTTAAATTGAATTTCATATTTTGCAAGTAATTTCACATTACCCCATCTACAATTTCAATATTTTATGCTATAAAAATTAATCAGGGGATGGAACCTCACAAATTTACATAGTGGAAATACAACTTTAAACTGTGTTATTTGAAATATTCATTCCAATATATTCTCGTATATTTATGCCTAGGTTGAGCAGCTTGCAAGGTCACTTGAGAAACCAAGATTAACAAACGACAACACACCAGTAAGTAAATATGTTGTAATTTCTAGTTAGTTATTCAATTAAATATAAGTACCAACCAACCTATTTGACATTCAATGTGTGCATATGTATCTGTAAGGAAGATTGTATAAAATTTGCTGATGTATATGTATATTATTAAGTCATGGTATTTTATTGCAAATGACGACATAGTAGAGTACTATAACCATTGCGTATATGGTCTGGAGATACATGTAAAAACACCATGTTATCAATACTGACTCTGTGTATTACTGCACAAGGCATCAACCATAGTGGATGCAGACACAATAGTCATGTAGCACCCTTTGCGTGCATACATAATGAGTCCTACAGTCAGCATATGCACAACTAAGAACATATGGCATCTTTGGCATGCCTGCATGAAAAGTGGTCGAGTCAGCACATGCAACTTTTGGCACATGACAAGCGTTCCAGTTGGTACATGGAAATAATAGTCATTAGTCCTCAGTTATAGCATAGACCTTAGAATATGTTCTTCAAGGTTATAGTTCTAGCTGTTAGTGATCAGAGTGCAAGTGGTACCTGCTGTATCTGTTGTATTCACCATTGGCTGCTGCTGTTGCATGACACATTACTTGTATGTATTCCACAGATTACAGTTGAAGAAGTGGTTCTTGAGAGGGAAAGGGACAATAATAAGATTTATCATGCTCGAGTTACGATACTGCAGAGACAAACAGATATGTTTTATCTTGGAGAATTGTATATTGATAGAGACTATCACCCAGGTGACCCAAGAAGACCTGGCACTATATGCAAGTAAGTAGACATAATTCATGTTTCAGCATATGCAAGTATTTATACTGTCTGAGTAACTGTTATTGACATATAATTAAACAAAGTTTGCTATTTTATTTTCTATTTGTAGATTTCCACTGGGAACTAAAGCGAATGTCCAAAGGTAATTTTTTTTTTTTTTTCATATATTTTGTAAACATATCACTGTTGTTTAGAATTGTCTTAGATGTATATTGTATGCTATATGATCCACTGCAGATGCAAGGTATTTATCCTTACATTGTACAATCCTATCTGGCAATAGTGAAGAATCCTTTCAAAAATCCTTTCATATCTTTATAGCAATCAGATCCAGATCTCTCTCAAAATCTGATCGATTGATCCTTATCACAAGGACAGTCTAAAATGTCATGGAAATTCATAGTTATCCTGCTGACAACCAAAACCAGCACTGACAAAACATAAATCTCCTTGGTGAAGATTAAACCCAAGATGCCATCTTGATACAGCAATTCAGTAAATTTAATTAATTAAAAGTTAATACTCACAGTTTTGGGTAGAACACAACAAAAGGTGAATAAAAGTGAATAAACGTCTCTTTCAACTTTCACAAGCAGTCAATAATTGTTTAAGAATGTGTTTCTATCATTATTAGGTATCTGCAGCAATTCAAAGATCTATTTACAGAAGAAGGTAGACGATCAGTTAAAATATCGCACATTATTCCGGGACAAGCATCATTGTTATCTCCTACTATTTCAATAAATCAACCAATTAATCTTGCACTACTACAACAACAGCAGCAGCAACAACAACAACAACAACAACAGCAGCAGCAGCAGCAACAGCAACAACAACAACAACAACAGCAGCAGCAGCAGCAGCAGGTTGGTGCAGTTCAACAGATTGCAGTAGCCGGTGCTCCCAATATGTATGTGAATACAAGCAGTGGTATGGTAACAACTCTGCAGGTTAGTGACTATGAATTCATTTATTTATTTGATTGATTGTTTTGTTTTGTTTTGTTTTATTTATTTATTTATTTATTTATTTATTTATTTATTTATTTATTTATTTATTTATTTATTTATTCATTCATTCATTCATTCATTCATTCATTCATTCATTCATTCATTCATTCATTCATTCATTCATTCATTCATTCATTCATTCATTCATTCATTCATTCATTCATTCATTCATTCATTATACCAACAGGTCTCCCCAATTACAGGCACTCATGAAATACAATTACAAAAATAAGGCCACACTGATTTAATTTTATGGATGACATCCCCTGGAGACCTCAAAACTAATGTGAGAGGGCGAAAAAAAAAAAATCCTGCCAAAAAAAAATGCTACTAAAACCACAGGACTACATTGACCTTTTATATTGAGACTCAAAAATTACCAAGTACTACTAATTTCCGTAATAATATATCAGTATCACTTTATTTATTTATTTTCATTGAAATAATGACCAAAATGAATACGTTTATTTTTTGTGTTAATTTTCTTTTCAATAACGTGTATCTATCATGTCAGTACGTTTTTTTTGAGTGTTATTTACAAAGTGTGTGTGGAGAAAAAAGACGTTGTTTGGCGGCCATTTTGAATATATAATAAAGTCATTTGCAACATCTTGAATTAGTTCTCTTGCTATGCTCACAAAAAAAGACATGTTACACAGTAGCTTTGAAACTTTTTTTCACCACGAAAGCGGACTTCGGCCGAGGAGCTTCCGCTGCTTTCATTGCAGTTTTGTCGATTTCAATGCGGACAAAGCAACCAAACTGACTTTTAGGCCACCATACACCTCCACTCCTCTCCCATTTCTGTCATCGTTGGCGAAGAAACCCGGGACAGCCACCCTGGACAATATGTCCTTAAAGTCGTCTGGGCGAAACTCGCTTGCTGCTACCAATCTCTCATATAGCTGTGTAAACGTCACATCCCCCTGGCCGACATCAATTGCGTACGACAATCCTTCTGTTTTTCCTCTGAACTTTTATGCTCAGGTATTTTGGTGGCGTGGTCGCCATGTTGGAATTCCCGGCAACGCAATACGCATGTGCAGAAGATCATTTACGACAAGTCGGTGCTTTGTGACAATATGAGTCAGCAAGTTCCGGACAGAAAACCAATCTGTGGAGACTCGTCGTCAGAGTTTTTTTTTTTTTTTTGAGAACAGGCGAAAACTAATGCCCGCGCGGATGTCATCCATAAAATTAACTCAGTGTGGCCTAATAAAAAATTAAAAAGAAAGACCCAAAGCTCAACATATGGCATAATGTTCATGATCTACAGTACCTGTCCGTGGACCGCACTTTGCTATCTACTTACATGGCCACCATATGTATAATGTGGATTTTGCAATTTTTAGCCGAAGGCTTATAGATTGGGTTCCGTCCGTCTGTCTGTCCGTTCGTTCGTCCGTCCGTTTGTCTGTCTTTTACCGCTTATAAGTTTGATATGCTCTGTCCAATGTTTTCCCAAGTTGGTGCATATGTAATTCTCAATGCCATACATATGCACGCCGAGTATTTTTTTGATTCGCCAAAGTTTCATTGTGTTTTTCTGTGATTTTCAACATTTTACTAGTAAAAATTTCGAAATTTGCCGGAAAAATCCGAGTTTTAACGACATCTTGCAAGAGAACTGGCATTACCGTATTGCGCATGCGCCAGTCTAACCGCTGAGGAAATCAGCGTCGTTTTCAT